TGAAACGAAGCCCACATGCCAAAATTCAGCTAGTTTTAAGCACTTTCAAAAATGGCCGAAAAATCTAGGGGACGTTCTTGCACGCGGCCTTTCAATTGAAGTATTGATTTCTGTTGAGAACGGCAGGTTCATTACTCAAAACTATTATTTGACGAAGACTCCTTTGTTGTTGTTAATATCTTTGTTCCAACTGATGCCAATCAGCAACTAGAATTCTTTTCTACACTAAACCAGTTTTTACAAGACTTTGCTTAGGAGAGTTTGATAATCGGAGGTTACTTCAATTGCACACTTTCCGATAAAGCCAAAATACAGTCGATCCTATTCACAGCAGCCACCTTGGGAAGAGAGGAAAATGGCCGTTGTAGAGAGTAGGCTGTAGTGGGGACTTAGGGGTGCAATGCAGTAACGACAATAAAACCCAGTGTGTAAGAACCTACAGTTTTTGAAGTCTGGCAAAATAGGTTCTTGTATTTTGGGGTAGTTACTGGTAGTTTAGGCTAAGTAGGCTCTTAATTAGGTTCTTAATTTCTAAAGTGATGTAGCTCTTGATTTCCAGAAAAATAAATCAACTTGATTTTGGTCCCTAAGGATACAGTATTTATTCACGACTGTGGTATATACTTTCTTGAACTATAAATTTGTAATCCCAAAGTCACACTCCTTGAATTGGTTAAAATGTTTATCAAAATTTAACTGTAAATAAACTTTATTGGGAATGAAGTAAAAAAGAAAGAAGGTTCTTATATGTAACCCACATAGTGGCAGGTTTTTATATGTAACCCATATATAAGAACCTGTTTGATCTTGCTTGGCTGAATGGGTTCTTATATTTTTTGGGTGTGAAAATGACACGCTACTGCCAACAGTTTCTAAAACCACTAGGTTCATACATGCAGGTTTTTACTGCATGACACCTGCTTTTTTGGGGTGCAACATTTAAACACTTTTTTCTTAAATTCTATTAAAGTATATAAATAAGTAGCACAAGCAAGTAAGCATTTGCCCAAAACAAGAATGCTTGATCACAGGTTACCACAAACCATCCCACCACAATAACAGGGTGACCCACTGGGATGGAATAAACAAAGCCACTGATCTATAATTTAACACTGATTAACAGATTAAAGCATATAAATAAGATTAAGGCATATCAATAAGTAACACAAGCAAGCAAACATTTGCCCAAAACAAGGATGCCTGATCACAGGTTACCACAAACCATCCCACCACGATAACGGCATGACCCATTGGGACCGAATAAACAAAGCCACTGATCTATAATCTAACACTGATTCACAGAAATTAAAGGGACACTCCAGCTTCAGTAGTTACACCACAACATTTGCCATATGCAATTACACAGAAGAAACAATCTAAATGGTATCTTCATCATGCAGGTATCAGGGTACATAGCTATGCATATCCTGTAACTGTTCAACTGCACTCAAAGCATGACAAATATCCGGAATTATCAGTTGCTCAAAGAATTCAGATTAAGGTCCCAGTGTAAGATGAAATGGAAAATTTGTGCTAATTTCACCAGTTATTAGTAATTCATTGTAAGGAGATTTCTCCCAATATATATCACTGTAATCACTTATCTTTGCAATACATTCAATACATCATGTCCTTTAAAACATTTATTAAAACTATATAACTACAGTTAATTTCTTTATTCTGTAAGGTCAATAATTATTACACGCTATCATTAATTCTGTCATCCTTGCTATCTTCTAACACAACAGTACAATCAAACACATTTTGAAAGGACTCTATAAAGGCTGGAATTGTACCTTGCGGTTCAATGTTTTGGTTAGTTTCCTTTGAAAGTGATGTAACACCTTTGCCTTCTACCCCACAAGGTGTGAAGTGCTCAAACCAACTCAGATCAATATTACAGTTCAGTGCAATACCATGTGTTGTAATCCATCGGCTTGTATGAACACCTGTAAATACCAAAACAAAACAAAAAAAATCATTAAATCTTAACAACTAAACAATATTTTCCTTTTCCTCATCTTTCCTCATTGTAAAATATTTCCTTTTCCCCAAGGATTTTCAATTAATTTTGTTTGACAGTCACAGAGCATCTGTCCACCCATGAGAAAAATGAGAGAAAAAAAAAACAAAAACGAGAAAAATAAAACTGTTCAACCATCCTTGCAAAAAATGTTGCAAATAACCCATCCATCCATAAAAGTAGCACCACTCCCGTTTGCTACAGGCACCTACCCCCCCTCTCCGAGTTAGAACATCATTACGTCAAGTGGAGAGGGGAGGAGGGGGGAAGAGGGAAAGAGAGGGTAGGGGCCATAGCAACATGGAATGTGGAGGCTTGTTCAGTCGTCATATTTATTTTATTTACTCACCTATTGCTGCAATTTTGTTGTCTTTTACCCAGACTCCGGTGTCACACGTAGTCGCTGCCTGCACGTCGAACCTTTTACAAGTCTCAATAAGCGTATTTTCCAGTGAAGCTACATACCACCTTAAACTTTTCTTAAAACAGTCAAGGTTCAAAATGGGATAGCAAACTAATTGTCCAGGGCCGTGGAATGTCAACAGACCTCCTCTGTTGGTAAAATGAAACTCGGCTCCTAAATCTTCCAACCTTTTCCTTTCTTTTGAGTCGATGTTTTTGTTTCGTATTCCAATGGTAAAAACAGGAGAATGCTCGTAGAAGAGTAGAATATTTTCAACGCTGCTTGTTCCTTTGGATTTTAATTCTTCCAGGTGTTGCCTAGCTAGTGTAGTTTGTACTTTTAGAGCTGGTAAATAGGTGATTTTTTTCCAACTTTCGCCCATAGACGACCCTCTTGATGGCCGCCATATTGGAATGCTTGGTAGCCACGCTGATGTATGCTCCTTACCAGGTCCTGACTGCTTCTTGTGCCTGATTGTCATGGCTGACAAAGCATTAACGTCGAATTTTCGACTTCGATGGTGCAATGATAGGTATAGGTATGCCCCGCTCCAATCGCTGTTTATGACTTAAATCTCAGGTCATCTCTTTGAGGTTTGAACAAATGAAGACACCGAAAATGTAATGATTTTTAACCGAACGAGAGGCGCGGTGGCCTCATGGTTATTTCGCTCGACTCCGGAGCGAGCGGTTCGGGTTCGAGCCCTGGCCGGGAACATTGCGTTGTGTTCTTGAGCAAGATACTTTACTCTCACGGTGCCTCTCTCTACCCAGGTGTATAAATGAGTACCGGCGAATTTAATGCTGGGGGGTAACTGCGGGTAACCCTGCGATGGACTAGCATCCTACCCAGGGGGGAGTAGAAATACTCCTAGACGCTTCATGCTACTGAAACCGGGTTAAGCTCCGGCCTGATGAGCCACTTGGCTCGTACGCAGACTTTACTTATACTCGACAAGTCGGTCGGATCCGTCCCTGAAACAAGTTTCAGAAGCAAGTCGTTTCGACTGAAATACCCAGTTTGGCAAGGTTTCCATATAACCACCACATTTATTATGCATGTAGTTTTTTGTTTAACTAAACGATAGCCGAAACAATAGAGCCCCTTTGAGACTTACTCGCTTAACCACAGAGAACCCGAACTAATGACATGACCACTGGTTCAAGCTGACGGCGGCCATGTTAAAAGGATTTGAATAAAGCATCGTGGTTATACAGTGAAATCCCGATATTTTTTAGTCTCCAAGGGAAAAAAAAATGTTTTGAAATGTTGGTTAGTTAGAGAAATTGGGGGTAAAATTACAGTTTTCGACTGAGCGGAGAGAATTCGAGTTATCGGAAAGTTCCAAAGAGGTTCAGGAAATATGGATTCCACTGTAGCTGAAATCGACATCGAAAGAAAATGACAAGAAACGTTCATTACAGTTTGTATTCCTCATCATATTTTGTTCTGGTGGTCATGGAGGACATTGCAGCCGTAAATTATACTCTTCCAAGGAAGAAACGAAGCAAAACATACAACAATAATAGTTTCATAAGCTAACAAATCGTGACCTAGAATGTGCTGCTCATGGTTGATTGTAAGTTAATTTCACCTGATAAGGGTTTGGCCTTGATCAGTAATTTCTTAGACATCGATTTTGTAATAAAAACTGATGATAAAAAGTCACAATGTTTCGATCTCTCCGAGGTCATTTTCAAGTGCGAGTGAAAAATACAAAATTTGCATAAATATGTATCTAACAGGGAAAAATAGTTAAAAATGCCATGAGCGGCAAAATTCAATGAAATATGTAAGATAAGTGGTAATAATAGTTTCAGAGTTAAAAAGGGACCCCAAGCAATGAGACAATAAAACAACAATTCAATACTAATAAAAAAA